GTAACTTGACAGGACAATGATTGAATTCAATGTCGGCAATTAATTGCAGATCTTCGTGGTCTTTACATCGTAACCTTTGAATGGCGATTGCCTGGGAAATATCGTGTTGCATTGCATTCCACTGTAGTTATTTCGTAGTTTTCCATCGTTGTACTCAAGACTTTTCACAATAAAATACATCGTGTAAAAGATAAATGCCTCATAGTTGGCTGAAAAAACTTAGTTAATCGAAACAAGCAAAACTTAAACCGCCTTTGCAAGAAAAATATACTTTCTCATTATTATATAAAATGAAAATAACATTGTAATATATAAATTATTATAATGTTAAAATTAAATTAGTAATTTGTGTAAAAAAGAGAATCTTGTAAAATTATTGTGTTAAACGATTGACTTCGTGATAGAGAAATTATTTAAAATCATCTTTTTTGAATAAACGACAGAGATAAAAATCATTGTAAAAGACTATAAAATAGAAATTTACTATATTAAAGAGCATTTGCCAATCAAAATTTAATTTACCGAGACACAGTCTGCAGAACATACAATGAAATTAAAGTAAGTGTTACTAGCGCCGGAAGCGATTTTCTTTAATACGTTCACGTTTGCAGAAAGAGCAATGACTGTTGGAACACGACGCCGGCCGGCCGGCCGACGAGGTGCAAGATGGAGGTGGCTCTCGCCGAGTCACATCCCCGTCATCGAAAGGCCCCTTTTACGTGGCTGACTATAAAGTTGTTCTGATGACCGCGCGCCCGCTTCAGAAACACTCCACCCTCGAACGAATCGACCAGCTTTCACGCCATGAAATTGCACGTAAGTAACGCAGCCGCCTTGTGTCGTTCTTGTTTTTTTACTTAATCGAAAAACTTTGCGCGATCTTGAAAAGTAGAGAACAATGCAAAATGCACGTGTACTTTTCCACGAGTCGCGCGTTTTCTTTCAGCGCGTGATGCAGGCGAAATAAAGTCGCGTGCGCCTAATCGTGCTACATATACAAACCAGATATACCGGAAATAAATTACGTGACGATTCGATTAACGGGTGCCGCTCGTTATTTTGTGCTATTTCGGTCTTGAACATTTTCTCGCATATCCGAAACCATAATCTTAATCATTATGTGAATCTCATGGGTATGCATATACGGACATGTGCGTTGTTTCACGATACCATCTCATTACGTTAAAAACTAAAAAAAAAGTGTGAAATGTTCTAGAAGTGTTATGTAAATTTAATTCCTGTGTTATAAAATATTTTTTTAGATATTAATTGGATTATAAATTTATTTCCATTTTGTATCGCGAAAATTAAACGTACTCTTGTAAGATTTACAAGGTTATTATATCGTCGTCGCAAGACGCGAAAACAAGACGGGAAGTTGTTTTGTCGGAGATACCCAACCCCGCCTTCCGTCGGAAGGTAATAAGCGTGAATAAAGGAATGATGAATATCGTGCATTTAATTGCATCTTTGGATTGCATTGTAAAGAGAGTGACGAATCGTAATGCTTCTTAATTATCGAGGTCGTTAACCAGGAGTGCATTTCACGACCTAATTATTAGCCGCGGATTCAAGCGATCAGGCTTTCTCAATCTTGCTGCAAGCTCGCAGATCGAGATTTCAATGGAAAATAGCTGTTTCATCAATTTGTTTTGCTGTCACGCTGCATATATATTTTTCTCTTATAAGAGCTAAACTCACATATTTTCTTCTTATAAGAACTAAACCTGCATACAATGAGATAAAATAGATACTCAGGGAAAACAACAGATATTAAAAAGCAACAGAGCAAATATTAATTAAAATAAAATATTAGTCTATTTGTACGCTACTTTTAACCAATTACAATATCCTTTCCTCCAGGCTGCTTGAAGAGAAAAAAAATGCAGTAGACCTCAATAATCAGCACGCGTGTCGCGAAATGTCGTTCGGTTTCCGCGTTCCGTAAAATGTAACTCGCGCAGAATTTGTCGTACGTGCGATTCTGGAGCAGCATTTTGTTTCGTGACAGCTGGTTACAGACATTTTCAAAACGAGTCGAAGTTAATTTTTTCTCAAATAATCGCGTTGGGCGTGTCTGGACGATTAACGTCTATCTTATATACTTTCTACCGATCGTGCAATGCTCGTAGTCTAATCCTAACGCGTTCGATTGCTTGTAAGTCCGCGAGTCGACTTGCGACTTGCACTTTTTCTTTATTCTTCTACCTACCTTTTTGTGCGGCTGCGTTTCTAACAATCTTGCGATCGCGAATGTTAACTGGTAACGTGCTCACCTTTTCCCCGATTATCGTGATTAAAGATTCATGTGTTCGCGGACTTTCCCTTCCAACTTCCCGGTGCCGGTTGCTCGATCCGCTTCCATATATGCAGTATAGTACATGCCGTAAGACAGATTCAGGTTTATAGTGCCAGGCGCATTAGATAATGATCTTTGATCGTCTGGTTGCGAAATCGAAAGCACTTAACATCGAGAATGAGATAAACGTTTGAATGTAATATAATGTTAGATTCCGATTTTATTTTATTATAATGGTTAAAAAGATCAAGAATAAAAAATAGAATTGTACTTTCTACTAATAATAAGTATCAAAAAAGTAATACAATAAGAATTACAAAGTTTTCTATAAGACTATTATGTGATTACACAACGATTAAGAAATAAGGACTCTGTTTAGAGTTACCGTTTGGTCAAGCTAAGTCTTTAGAACTGGAATAATTCTGTGTGTGAATTTATATACTATATATCTGTAGTCCTTTTTAAACTGCGCGCTAAAATTATTTTCGTTTTGAAACGCAAGTTGATTGAATCAACTATGAATCTACTGTGATAATATCACAAATTAAATTGAACAAGCAATTTAATAATTTGATGCTCTATGCATCCTATTAAAGAAATCTTAATATACCTATTGAAAATCTGTGAATAAATTTATTGCAAGGAATATTATCTCGCCTGGGAATCGAATCCGGATCACAATAAAAATTGTTATGTGTAATCGATGAATGATTTTATTTATTCTTTCGCATAATCAACTTTCTCTTTTATTATCAATACTTGAATATTTCTGATGTATAAATTGTAATGTATTCTACCCTGCCCTGTTATATGTAACATATTGTATAAAGTTCTGTCATAAATCTTTCACAGATTTTATTGCTAACGGCACTTCCCATGTGCCTAGCTGAATTCACAATCCAGGGACCCAGCGACGGACATCGACGGGCTCAGGGTCTTAAGTTCAGCGAAGAGAAAGGAATAGAATACACAGACGCGAGTGGTAAGTGTAGATAAACATAGACAATACTAGAAGATATAAAAACGTATGGAAACAATTTGTAGTGGTTATAAAGATTGTTTTCTAGAATATACTCTTTAACTTTTTTAAAATGGATTTTGTATATTTTTTCAACTGATTATATTTCGAAATAAGCACAAAGATTGTTCTTTAGGCATTTATTCCTTTTCTCGAGACTCTAACTTTTGTAATCTTATAGTTATGTTATACTAGTAGTTAGATATTACTTGAAATAAATCTCTATATTGAGATAAATGTAATTTATAATTTTTTTATGTATGTTTTTTACGTAGTACTCTTAAGTATTTGGTTTTTAGAGGGAGGGGGACCAGGAGACTTCACCATTCAAGGTGCGACTGACGGTAATACCAACTTCAGGATTCAAGGTGCTACGGATGGACATTCGAATTTCCAGATTCAGGGGCCTTTGGATGGTGGATCGGCCACTTATAATGTACAAGGACCGATCGATCGATACGGTCAGCCTACATACCAGGAAGAGTACAATGCTGATCAGGGTATCAATGCAAAGGCGCTCCAGTATAACGATCCTAGCGGTATTGTCGCCAATTTTGTTTAATGAGCTTTGTCACCTTCAAATATTGTTTACCAAATCGATCTGATGTGAATATGCATTAAAAGGTTATAGAGTAAATTGGAGGTCGTATGATCGTCAAACACGTCCGCAAGCTCAGGCAGAACCGCAGTATGTGCAAGCGGCGGAACCAATTTCACGATCAGCTGCGCCCCGACAGCGAGTGCCTCAAGCGCGAGTTCAACCGCAACCACAAGAGCAACCGGAACCACAGCCACATTACAGGCCTTATTCTAATGCACCGCCACAGATCCAGCAATTGCTTCAGTTCCAGCAGCAAATTCCGTACATCAATATAATTCCGGAACCATACAGGTTTGGAACAATAAAAATGTCGAATAAGATTAGAGATCTTAACATTTTTACTTATATTTTGTTAATATTACATTAAGTACTATCTATTATTATTTAATAATTCAAATACGCTGCAGTTTCAATGATCCTTAATCCAATTGCAGATTCGACGAAGAGGCTGCGGTACGAGCTCAATCTCAGCAGGTCCAAGAACACCTCAAGAAGTTGGCGCAAGAGGCGGCGGCTGCCCCTCTAGCTGAGCCCGTGATCGCGTCTGCACCTCGTCAAAAGTCACGCGGTCACTCCAGGAGCAAACGTCAGGCTCACCAGCAACCGCAGTACCGTAGGATATCCCAGCCCCCGGTGGAACCACAACCTCAATATTCGCCCAATCTGCCACCTCACTTGCGCGAACTGCTGAGATATCAGGCGGAAACGCCGTACAATATAATTGCTAACCAGATCGTGTATCGTCCGGACAAGCCGTACGTGCCGCATCGCGTGGACTCGCAGCAACTACAGCAACAGCAGCCGTTACAACAAGCACAGTATCAAGGACAGGGTGGCGCTTACGAGAGTCAAGCACAATATCAAGGACAAAGTGGCGCTTACGATGGTCAAGCCAGCGCATATACGCAGGCTAACATACAGCCGATACAGCCCGCGTATCAGAACCAACAATATCAACAGCTCGGCTATAATCAGCAGCCTGGAGTAAGACCTGTCACCGAGAGTCAGTACTGATCACCTCGACAAAGTGTTTTTTATTGTCTTTCGTTTGTTCCAATTGATAGAACAAGTCTTCTAGGACTGGATTCTATTATGTGATAATATTACGATCGAGTTTTTTTTTCAACAGCTTATCGAATATAGTTTATCAACAAATAAAATTAGATGAAGATATAGATAAATTATTACTTTAAAAATGTATTAGTTAGATTCTTGAACAAAATAAATTACAATAAAAAAAATCATAATTAATTTGAAATAAGTTCTTTTGATCCTTTTGAAATAGAAAGAGAAAAATACTTTATTTAACGTAATATTTGTTAAATATAAATATCTATGTTTGTGTGAACGATGCAATAATTAGAAGTTCTTTTTATAGATCAAGTTGAATATTATATATAGATAAATAAACTTTTTTCACTTTTTAAGATTTTCGACACTTTGATTAATAAAGAATTTTGAGCAAAAGTTGCTTGGAAAAAGTTGCTTTTCTTTGATTTCTTCACACGTGTCTTCCCATCCA